TGCTCTGCAAGACCCTGACGGAACAGAGTAACATCGGTGATACAGTAAGGTGATCTCTGTGCCATTTCAGATGCCGCCGATTGCTCTGCAAGACCATGATGGAACAGAACGACACCATTGATGCCATAAGGTGAGATCTGTGCCACTTCAGAGGTCCAATTTACTAGTATGCATGTTTAAAAGATTGTTAATGGTGATTAATTGATTTTGCAACAGAAACATTTTTAACCTACCTGCACATTCTTTAAATGATTTATAAAGCTAGCAAGTTACTGGCCATTTAATGTGACAACACAGAGCAGGGTTACTAGAATACAAAAGTTTAAAGATTAACCACTCACTTGTTTTCATGCTCCAAATGAGCCAGTGTCCGCTGCAGTTCATCCCTGTCCTCACAGTTGATTTCGCCCAGCAGATTCTGGCCCACAAAGGGCTCCTGCTCTGCAGCAACACTGGAATGACGGGGCAGGTATTGATCTTCATCTCTGAGCGACACAGATAGCCACTAAGCCACTCGCACAGCAAAGGAAGGGGCTCCAAGCCAAACAGAACGTCTACACAAACTCACAGGCTCTCATCGGGTGAAAGGCTATCGGTGAAGAAGGAGCAGTTCTGGTTCTCCATCTCTGCCAGTCTGGAGGGAAGGAAAAAAGGCAGCATTCATCACTATGAGGCCCATTTTCTTAGCAACAGGAGAGCAGCTTAATATTAACGAGAAAGCAGGTTTCCTTTGACACTGTTTCAGTGTTGAGCACTATGCCGGAGCTGATGAGATTTTAGGCCCATACTATAAAATCAGTGGATTAAAAGCAAGTTTGTGGTGGGGACTAAAACAATATTAGTGAAATGGCTTCCATCGCCGCCACTTATGTGAATGGCTACAAGAAAACCATGGTGAACTCATTTGCTGATTCAGGGCCAAGCTGGACTAAAGTCAATGGAAATGAAGAAACAGACAGGAAATCAATACTGTATCGCACGCTGGCCCATTGGCCTCCCACCAGCAGGCACTCCGCACACTCTGATCACTACCGTGCAGAACATGCAGACCTGGCCCATTCGCCTCCCACCAGCAGGCACTCCGCACACTCTGATCACTACCGTGCAGAACATGCAGACCTGGCTTATTCCCTGCGTGCATCCATCGCCTTTATCAAGTGAATGCATGCACTGCATAGCCCCTAAGAATTTGTGCATTTGTTTGTTTCATATCTAAGAAGCATTTTGTGTTTTGTGGGGGTAACAGATTCCCAAAATCATACATGCAAGTACATTCCACCCATTTTAAGAATTTTTAAGAATTTAAGAATGATATAATATGTTAATGTTATACATATTACCTCACGGCTGCATTGCATCCTTGACATATGATCATTCAAAGAAAACTAGATTTAGATTTAAGAACACCAGCAGAAGGCAACTGCAAATTAGCGGAATATCTCATTTCTAGAGCAAGTGCAACTCATTTTTAGCCATGGGCTTTTGTCTAGCTTGGCAAAACCTTCACATCCTTCTTACTGTATGATAATATTCATTAGGAGAACATATTTTGCTTTTTTTTGCTTGGTCTTCCAAAAGTTAATTTGTTATTAAGTTTGGTTTACTTTGAGCATGCCAGCAAACTGAATTAGCAAGAAAAAACTACTTACTGAGCAAATCCTGAACACTGTAATTACAATCGAGGAAGGTTGGTGAAGAATGTAATCGCTTCTCTACTGTATCATTACCTGTCTTAAAGTTAATTGTTTGGTTCACTTCACTCGCCCTTTAAAGCCTGACCAGCCACAACTTTGTGTATTAGCATAATATCTCATACACCAAACTCAGGTCATTATAATGTTACCACCCAGATAAGCAAGAGCCGTGTACTTTGGAATCTGTAACTGTATACAAGATGTTCCACAGGATTATATTTTAAATTGGTTTTAAATAATGAAATCATTCTAAAGGCTATTTCCACTATCTTTTTATGCACATCACACACACTCAAAAGTATGAACAAAAGAGCAAGTGCAATATATGTGCTATAATTCTGACCTACTCCTACCTGATCATTTACATATAAGTTAGCAAACAGCTAGATGCCAGAGAAACTCAAAGAGAATTGAGATGAGCTTACAGGGACAGGAGTAACACTGAATACGATCAATATATTCTCTCTGGCCTTTGAGGGTGACAAACTTTGCATTACAGACTCCTGGGACTTATTTTTCTCCATTGGCAGGAGTTCCAACTAAACATTTGGCAAAAATGTCACACTGTGTCTGCTGTAGTCATTTCTGATGCTTCCAACGGGGATTACACTATTGTTTTGTAAGTTTTATGGACCCCATAAGTCATTCAGGACATTGTCCTCTGCAGCGTTCGACTTTGGGAGTCCCTTAGCGGTACAAAAGGGCTGCAATCCGCTCCATCATAATAGTCATTTTGCCTGAGATACTGATCAGATTGTGGCAAAAGACAGCTGTAGAGAAATAAAATGGACAAAAATAAACCCTTTATTCCTATCCCTGCAAGAGCAATGCACGGGGAACAATCCCAAGGCAATAGTGAGCTTAAACGCTGCAGTTTTCAGCAAGCCAATGAAGTGGGGTACTGACCTAACCAAAGCCAGCCCAGTATATGGCAAGCAAGGAAAGCTGCTTGTGCCCAGTAGCTCCTAATTTCTGCCGATTCCCTGTATGCTGCAGCCATCCCGCACTGAACATTTAACGACGATTGACAATGACACTCAAGTATATTCAAATGCGACTCCAAAGCAGAAAGTCGCCACAGATCGATGAGCCCTTCCATACCTGCTGGCAAAGTGCTCGATCCTTGAGTGAGTGTCTGCATGCGGCAGCTTGGGAGATGAGCTTGGGCTACAATGAACAAAGAGGCCAGAATGTTACTCATAGAATGGTCACCACCATTGAATCCAATCTCCCGCCAAGCCAAGTCATTTATAAGCTTTCCAGTCTGACTACAGGATTTTGCGAACACACGCCTGCCACTGCTAAGATACCTGAATTGTGCTGCCCCCCCCCCAGCTCACTCCACAGTGGGCTAAGGCCGACTCACCTTCCTGTGCCGTCCACCTCCAGCACAGACTGCACAGGCAGGTAGCCTCTCTGCGGGTGTTTGCTGAAATATTGCTTGGAGCGGAACTTATTCTTCAATGTCTTAGCAAAGTCCCGCATCTTTTCACCAGAGGTCGTCTGCTGAGCCAAATGGAAAATAAAGACTAAGACACTCAGTTCCTTGGGCCAACGGGCTACCGTGTGCATGGCCTGTCCAGGGCATGTGCTCTCTGGAGACAGTCAGAAGTACCTGTGTTTCTGGCTGAAATGTTCTTGGCTGAAATAACAAATAATTAGATAGATAAATGTGAGGTTTAAACTCCTTTCTTGACATCGCCCACCCCTCCACCCCCCCGCCAACCAAACATACAGGTCTTAAGAGTTGATAGCATAAAGCAGGGATTCTCAAACTTTTTGATCAACGGTCCGCATCAGATGAACTGCAGCGGATGCTGACGCATTTGGAGCATGAAAACAAGTGAGTGGTTAAAGGGCAAAGGTCAATAACAAAAAGGCACTTCATGAACTTAACTTTTTATAAAGACATCGATATTTAACAATCATGGGAACTTTTTAACACTCACTGATTGTTTCGAGACTGTTGTGTGGTGGGGGGCTTATGACGAGTTATGTGTGAGTGAAGTTTGATGGTTCTACCTTATAGTTTTGTACAAACCACGCTAAGCCATTTTATGTAAAGCGCATTGATTGATAAGGCGCCCCACCGGCTGGGCCCGGTCCTTGAGGGCCCTGGCATAAAGCCTTACCGGCGTGTAGTACTCCATGATAGGGTAGTGCAGCTTCTTCCCCTTGGTAGTGCGGCCCGTCAGGAAGCACGTCTGGCAGATGTCCACATTAAACTGCTTGAGGCTGCGATACCTGTCCAAGGAACAGGGGTGGTGATCACAAAGAAGAAGAGCGCGGCGATTGGTCAGGCTGCGGCCTTCGCTTTACGGTGACTCCCGGAGCAGGTGCCCCCACCTGAAGCCCTTTATGGGACACTGCTTGCAGATGGAGCACTTGGCCTGGTGCTTGGCTGACTCTGCCACGGCCACGCGCTGCAGCACCGGCATCCAGACCATGGACTGCGGCTCCAAGCTCATCCACTCCAGGAAGTGTGAGACCTCGACGGCAGGCCTCCCTGGGGCCTTCAGACAAGGACAAAAGGGAGACGCATCGCCAAACGGGGTGACACTGAGCATTAATTAATAAAAGGACCGTAGGAAATAAGGACATAATACAGAAATTAAGCAGGTGGTGGCATTCATTAATGTCTGTATCCGCAATCAGTCTGAATGGAAATTACATTTAAGAGTGATTTTCCTTCTGTCTCTTTGTTAAACTGCATCATTAACTTGCCGTTCCCTCTTGGGTTACCATGGCTGTGGTGTCGAATAAAGGCCATTTGACAGCCGCCCTATGCACCTCAGTACAGCACCTTAGGCGTGCCAACAGCCTACAACATAAGGGCACGTGTCTCTGCAACGGCGCCACGCCTAAGGTGCTGCACCGGGCGCTCAATAAGGGCACGTGTCTCTGCCAATGGCGCCACGCCAAAGGTGCTGTACCCGGCGCTCAATAAGGGCACGTGTCTCTGCCAACGGCACCACGCCTAAGGTGCTGCACCGGGCGCTCAATAAGGGCACGTGTCTCTGCCAATGGCGCCACGCCTAAGGTGCTGCACCGGGCGCTCAATAAGGGCACGTGTCTCTGCCAACGGCACCACGCCAAAGGTGCTGTACCCGGCGCTCAATAAGGGCACGTGTCTCTGCCAACGGCACCACGCCAAAGGTGCTGTACCCGGCGCTCAATAAGGGCACGTGTCTCTGCCAATGGCACCACGCCTAAGGTGCTGAAACAATTTAGAAAGAAGCTAAAATGTACAGTATTATCCATGCTGGGTCACTCCTGGTCCAGTGATTACAGAGCTCATCTGGAAATGCAGAAAGGTGGAGTGTGGCCCATTCACGCGGTCACCCTCACAGTGAGAGGATCCCAATATTTACACGTCTGTGTGAGGTAAAGCTACCAAGCCAGGAAGGTACCGGAAACTTGAATGTGCTGGATACCATCTACCAGATAAACACGCAATGAAAAGAACCAGAAAGGAAAAACTTTCCAGTGGTACCGTGTATGTAGAATTCTGTGTATACAATACTGTTGTGTTCCAGATAATAAAAATGTTAACGGTGAGAACACAATGGTCATTTATGATAATTATAAAGACATTACGTTAATTAAATAGTTATACAGTATATTGAAATAAATATTATACAAAAACTTCACATAAACCCCGAAGTGTGATGTCTTACAAAATTATATGAGTTTTTTCTAGCTTCATCAAACAAAAATAATAGTGCACATGATCATCTTTTTTAGTGTACTATGTGTACTGTCCTTCACCTTGTCTTTTGCACTGAATGTTCATCTGCGCTCAATATGTTCACTGCAGAATGCACTAGAATTTCCTTCAGGGATCAATAAAGTTCATTCTAATTCTAATTCTCTACTTATACGGAGGGTTATCTGATATTTTTTTTTTCGTCGTCCCTTTTCTTCTACAAATGAAAGCCACAGAAAATGGAAAATGTACATTTATTTCTCAAGATTGACAAGATATGACCCTAGGACAAAAGTAAATCATCCATGAGGGAACTCTGAATCAGAGCAGGAGAACCAAAAATAACTCTAATCTCTGTGGAGACAAACAGAGAGCAGGGTGTCGCTCACCATTCGGAAGCAGCTGCGCACGCTGGGCTCTACGTTGCTGCCGCCAAACGCGGCCACCTCACCCAGCTGCCGAGGGATCTGCACGGCCTCGTGCAGCAGGACACTGAGCTGCCGCTGGTCAGTCAGGCCGCCGGGGCCCGACACCTGCTGAAACAGGTCTGGGACACAGACGCAGAGGTACAAGGACGTCAGGATGGGGGAGGCAGGGAAGCAGGACACCGTGTGGGTGCTGAATCACGCCAATAAGCTTCAGATGAAGGAGAGAAATGACACCGAAAATGTATCATTCCATTACATGATCAGATAATTCACCACTAATTTTAATATACCAGGTCAAATAAAAAAGACCAAAGAATTTCAGTTCTTTGACAGATAATAATTTCTTGATTCTAATTTTTGACCTTTTCAATGAAAATTTTCAGTGTTTCATAAAAATAAAGTACTACTCCATATATTGATCTAATTTTGGTTGAGGATAGATAGCTAGCTAACTCTAATCTCTATCTTTGTTTTTGTATTACAGGTTCTGTAATATAAAATCTTGCATAAAAAGCCATTAACACCAGAGGTCAGTGTATTTGGGGCACCTAGCCATGGCAGATAAGACCCGCTTGGGCCCCTGAACCGTTTTTTGTATACAGCTGCTATTATGCTATTATTTTTGCTCTCTTTGCCCTTCCTCTTTACTCTATATGTCTGTTCAACACTGTTCAACACAGTGTGCGTGTGTGTGTGTATTGTGCTTATATAACATTGTGGGAACCAAATATCCACCACAATGTAATAAAAACCTGTTTTTTTAATGTTGTGGTGACCATTTTCAGGTTCCCATGAAGATCTGTGGATGCAATAAAAAAAAAGTTGCATTTTGTTTGGTGACTTATGGTTAAGGTTAGGGCTGGGTAGGGGTTATGGTCATCTTGTTGGGATTAGAGTTTTCCCCATAGAAATGAATGGAGAGTCCCCACAAAGACCTGTGTCTGTGTGGGTGTGTGTTTGCGGGTGTGTGTTTCACTGCATTCGGCTGCAGTCACATGATTCACTACCTTTAGACTGTTAGCATTAGCAAGCAGCTATACCTAATACACTGAGTGCATATTATCAGGCTTTAATATGGTATACTGAAGCCCTAGCAAAAGACTAATTTAAGGAGTGTGAAACTATTGCAATAAAACTGATTGCAATAGCAGAAACGTATCTATAAATGTAAACATTAATACACACACACGTACAACATAATCCATTTATCTTCAGGTATTAATGCGTTCAAACCCTGTCTTTCTCCTCCCTTGCAGTTAGCAGTACTGTTCTCCCAGAGGGCCAATTACGAGGCAATGAAAAAATGTGGAAGTTCCTATGTTTGTTGAGAGAAAAGGATGGACAAGAATATAATATGGATGGTTACACGTTGTTCCGTAAAGACCGTATAGGTAAGAAGGGAGGTGGTGTTGCAGTATACTGTATGTAAAGGAAAACTTGCAGGCAAGGGAGCTTACTGATATAAGTAAAACTACGGAAGCTATATGGGTAAAATTAGATGCTAAAAACTCAAATAGCCTAATTGTCGGTATTTGTTACAGAGCACCTAATGTAGCTGCTGAGGAAAGCAGATTGTTATATGATGATATCAGAATTGTGAGCAATAAAAATGATGTGGTAGTTATGGGTGATTTTAATCTACCGGGGATGCAGTGGGACATTGTCACTGGCTCTTCTGAAAATGAACTGGAGAT